TCATTCCCTGGATTTGGGATCCCTCCCATTTGTTTGGAATTCCCCCCATTTCCCGGGATCAGGATCAGGAATTCCCGGTTTCCCAGGATCTGGAATTCCCCATTTCCCAGGATCAGGAATTCCCATTTCCCGGGATCGGGAATTCCCTTTTTCCCAGGATCAGGAATTCCCATTTCCCAGGATCAGGAATTCCCGGTTTCCCAGGATCAGGATCAGGAATTCCCGGTTTTCCAGGATCAGGAATTCCCAGTTTCCCGGGATCAGGATCAGGAATTCCCGGTTTCCCAGGATCAGGAATTCCCGGTTTTCCGGGATCGGGATCAGGAATTCCCCATTTCCCAGGATCAGGAATTCCCCATTTCCCAGGATCAGGATCAGGAATTCCCGGTTTCCCAGGATCAGGAATTCCCGGTTTCCCGGGATCAGGAATTCCCGGTTTTCCGGGATCAGGAATTCCCGGTTTTCCAGGATCAGGAATTCCCGGTTTCCCAGGATCAGGATCAGGAATTCCCGGTTTTCCGGGATCAGGAATTCCCGGTTTTCCGGGATCGGGCATTCCCGCCGTTTCCCCCGGCAGGTTCTGATCGACATCGACGGCAAACACGAGTGGCGGGATTGCATCGACGTTCCGGGCGTGCGCCTGCCCCGCGGCTACTACTTCGGGACATCGTCCGTCACCGGGGACCTCTCAGGTACGGCCGGGGCCACCTTTGCCTGGATCTGGTGACCATTCCCCGGATTTGGGAGCTGTAGGTGACCATTCCCCAGATTTGGGAGCCATTGGTGACCATTCCCTGGATTTGGTGACCATTCCTTGGGTTTGGTGACCATTCCCCAGATTTGGGAGCCATTGGAGACCATTCCTTGAATTTGGTGACCATTCCCTGGGTTTGGGAGCCATTCCCTGGATTTGGGAGCCATGGGTGACCATTCCTTGGATTTGGTGACCATTCCCTGGATTTGGTGACCATTCCCTGGGTTTGGTGACCATTCCCAGGATTTGGTGATCATTCCCTGGAGCGTGGAATAAAATCTTGGGATGAGCCTGGAATAAAACCTTGGGATGAGCATGGAATAAAACCTTGGGATGAGCCTGGGATAAAACCTTGGAATGAGCCTGGGATAAAGTGGGATGGGCATGGAATAAACTGGAAGGAGCATGAAATAAAACCAGGATGAGCATGGAATAAAACCTTGGGATGAGCCTGGAATAAAACCTTGGCATGGGCATGGAATAAAACCTTGGCATGGGCATGGAATAAAATCTTGGGATGGGCATGGAATAAAACCTTGGCATGGGCATGGAATAAAACCTTGGAATGGGCATGGAATAAACTGTGAGGAGAATGAAATAAAACCAGGATGAGCCGGGAATAAAATCTTGGGATGAGCCTGGAATAAAACCAGGACGAGCCTGGAATAAAACCTTGGGATGGGCATGAAATAAAATGGGATGAGCCTGGAATAAAATATTGGGATGAGCCTGGAATAAAACCTTGGGATAAGCCTGGAATAAACTGGGATGAGCCTGGAAGAATACCAGGATGAGGCTGGAATAAAACCTTGGGATGAGCTTGGAATAAAATATTGGGGTGGGCATGGAATTAAACCTTGGGATGGGCATGAAATAAACTGTGAGGAGAATGAAATAAAAACAAGATAAGGATGAAATAAAACCTTGGAATGAGCCTGGGATAAAACCTTGGAATGAGCCTGGAATAAAATATTGGGATGAGCTTGGAATAAAACCTTGGGATGAGCCTGGAATAAAACCTTGGGATGAGCCTGGAATAAAATATTGGGATGAGCTTGGAATAAAATATTGGGATGAGCCTGGAAGAAAATCTTGGGATGAGCCTGGAATAAAACCATGAGCCTGGAATAAACTGGGATGAGCCTGGGATAAAATCTTGGAATGAGCCTGGAATAAAATCCTGGGATGAGCATGGAATAAAATATTGGGATGGGCCTGGAATAAAACCTTGGGATGGGCATGGAATAAAACCTTGGGATGAGCCTGGAATAAACTGGGTGGGATGAGCATGAAATAAAATGGGATGAGCCTGGAATAAAATCTTAGGATGAGCCCGGAATAAAATCTTGGGATGGGCCTGGAATAAAACCTTGGAATGAACATGGAATAAAATCTTGGGATGAGCTTGGAATAAAATATTGGGATGAGCCCGGAATAAAATCTTGGGATGGGCCTGGAATAAAACCTTGGAATGAGCCTGGAATAAAATCCTGGGATGAGCCTGGAATAAAATCTTGGGGTGGGCCTGGAATAAGATGGGATGAGCCTGGAATAAAACCAGGATAAGCATGGAATAAACTGGAATGAGCATGGAATAAACCGGAAGGAGCATGAAATAAAACCAGGGTAGGGATGGAATAAAATCTTGGAATGAGCCTGGATTTGAGTTTTGGGATTTAAGGCTCCCTCCCGCAGAATTCCCAGTTTTTCTGCCGCTTTTCCCAGACAACCACGACATCATCTCTCTGAAGCTGTACCAGCTGACGGTGGAGCGGACGCCGGAGGAGGAGAAGCGGGATCGGGAAGTTTTCCTGCCCGTGGTGGATAACCTGAGGCTGCCGGGGAGTGAGTGGGGGCTGGGCCGGGTGGGAGAGGCGGGATTTGGGTGGGGGGAGGGGTTGGAGGGGAAATGGACCCCGGGTTTGGGGTCACGCCAGAGGTTTGGGTTGTGATGGAGTGTCAGAATCACACCCCAAAATCCCAAAATCCCATCCTAAATCCCATCCCAAAATCACTAAATCCCATCCTAGAATCTTATCCCAAAATCCCATCCCAAAATCCCATCCTAAATCCCATCCCAAAATCCCAAACTCCCATCCAAAAATCCCATCCCAAAATCCCATCCTAAATCCCATCCTAGAATCTTATCCCAAAATCCCATCACAAAATCCCAAAATCCCATCCTAAATCCCATCCCAAAATCCCATCCTAAATCCCATCCTAAATCCCATCCTAGAATCTTACCACAAAATCCCATCCCAAAATCACAAAATCCCATCCCAAATTCCCAAATTCCCATCCCGAATCCGGGGTTTTCAGGTCTCCTCTCTCCGTTCCCCGCAGTGGAGGCGCCGCTGGAGCCCATGAGCGGCCTGGCCCTGTTCCTCATCGTCTTCTTCTCGCTGGTGGCCCTCGTCTTCGCCATCGTCATCGGCATCATCGTCTACAACAAGTGGCAGGAGCAGAGCCGCAAACACTTCTACTGAAGGCCGGGATTCCGGCGGAGCCCCCGGGATTCCGGCGGGGAGAGACTTTCCCGGTGTTTTTTTCCCGGGAACGGGCCGGGGTTTTTTGTTTGGAGTTTTCCCGGCGGGACGAGCCGCGGGAGCCGCTCGGCGCCGCCCCCGTTCCCCCCCAGCATGTGGCTGCTGCTCCTCCTGCATGTGGCGGCTCCCGGATTCCCGGGGGATTCCCGGGGGATTCCCGGGGGATTCCCGGGAAAATCCTGAGAGATTCCTGGGAGATTCCTGAGAGATTCCCGAGAGATTCCCGGGGGATTCCCGGGGGATTCCCGGGGGATTCCTGGGAGATTCCTGGGAGATTCCCGGGAAATTCCCAGGGGATTCCCGGGGGATTCCCGGGGGATTCCTGGGAAATTCCCGGGGGATTCCCGAGAGATTCCTGAGAGATTCCTGGGAGATTCCCAGGGGATTCCTGAGAGATTCCTGAGAGATTCCAGGGAGATTCCTGAGAGATTCCTGGGAGATTCCAGGGAGATTCCTGGGAGATTCCCGGGAGATTCCTGAGAGATTCCAGGGAGATTCCTGAGAGATTCCCAGGAGATTCCTGAGAGATTCCAGGGAGATTCCTGAGAAATTCCCAAGAAATTCCTGGGAGATTCCCGAGAGATTCCAGGGAGATTCCCGGGATATTCCCAGGAGCTTCTCGGGAGATTCCCGAGAGATTCCTGAGGGATTCCTGAGAAATTCCCAGGAGCTTCCTGAAGGATTCCCAAGAAATTCCCAGGAGATTCCTGAGAGATTCCCAGGAGATTCCTGAGAGAATCCCAGGAGATTCCCGAGAGATTCCCAGGAGATTCCTGGGAGAAATTCCTGAGAAATTCCCAAGAGATTCCCGGGAGATTCCCAAGAGATTCCCGGGATCTTCCCAGGAGAATCCCGGGATATTCCCAGGAGATTCCCGAGATCTTCCCAGGAGATTCCCGGGATATTCCCAGGAGATTCCCAGGATATTCCCAGGAGATTCCCAGGAGATTCCCAGGAGATTCCCGAGATCTTCCCAGGAGATTCCCAGGATATTCCCAGGAGATTCCCGAGATCTTCCCAGGAGATTCCCAGGAGATTCCTGAGATCTTTCCAGGAGATTCCTGGGATCTTCCCAGGAGATTCCCGGGATATTCCCAGGAGCTTCTCAGGAGGTTCCCGAGAGATTCCTGAGGGATTCCTGAGAAATTCCCAGGAGCTTCCTGAAGGATTCCCAAGAAATTCCCAGGAGATTACTGAGAGAATCCCAGGAGATTCCTGGGAGAAATTCCTGAGAAATTCCCAAGAGATTCCCGGGAGATTCCCAAGAGATTCCCGGGATCTTCCCAGGAGAATCCCGGGATATTCCCAGGAGATTCCCGAGATCTTCCCAGGAGATTCCCAGGAGATTCCCGAGATCTTTCCAGGAGATTCCTGGGATCTTCCCAGGAGATTCCCGGGATATTCCCAGGAGATTCCCGAGATCTTCCCAGGAGATTCCCAGGAGATTCCCGGGATATTCCCAGGAGAATCCCGAGAGATTCCCAGGAGATTCCCGGGATCTTCCGGAG